CTGACTGTGCCCAGTGCTGGTATGGATAAATAAATGGATCTTTAAAAAAAAGAAAAAAAAAATTCACAAGAAGTCATTTATAAAGATGTTGATGAGAAGGATTATGAGAGAGGTGAAGCATTTAATTTGTGGGCCATGTTTCCTGAGAAGGTGGGGGTGGCTGAGATCCAGAAATTGTTAGGCTGTATAGGAAAAGGACCATCGTTCTTTGTCACAGGAGGGAGAGTGGAAAGGCTAGGTGCAGACAAGGTGGGATTGCAGTTTCATAGAGGAAGTTTAAGGGGTTCCAAGCTAATGCCTTCTGTTTTCTGTGTATGAAGAAGTAGGAGTCACAGCTGCAAAAAGTGATGGGGGAAGTATGGTTGAGCTCGAAGGCAGATGAGAAGTTTCCAATCATTGCAGAGACAGAGGGAACTGACCTGGAACACAGAATTATTGACTGTCTGGAGGGACTGGTGAGAGGGTCCACTCTGCAGGCCTCTCCAGCTTTTCCCAGGACTCTTCAGAAGTCTGAGGGAATGTGTTGGGAAGGTAGATATCTTAATAGGAAGTTTCTCAATTTTTAGCTATCCTTATATTTGTTTCTAATTGTATCACCTTATGGTCAGAGTATGTTGATTCTTAATAAATTTACTGAGGTTTCCTTTATGGCTTAGTGGAGGTACCATATTTGAAATTGTACTCCATCTTTTTGAATGTGTTCTTGATTTATTTGGTATAGTGTTCACATAGATGTGAATTAGCTTGAGTGTACATTAGTGTTGTTCAGATCTTTGAGAGAGGTATGTCAAAGGGTGTGATGTTTCTTTTTTCATAGTCCACAGCTTTGGTCAGACGCAATATCAGTCAGCACATGAAGTTTGCAGTCTTCAGCGGGAGTGAGTGGGCCTGATTAGGTGCAGTTAGCAGGAACTCCCCTGGTGTTCTGCCTGGTACACAGCAGATAAGGAAATGGGGTGTGTAGTGATGTGACTTACCAGGAGCCACAGGGCTCTAAGTAGCAGAACCATAGTTTATATCCAGACCTTTTGGGTTTAACACCTGTACTCTCCTGCCATATCTTCTATGTTTAGTGGAAGTAGGTGGTAAGTTACCCCACCTTCCCTTATCCTTAAGCTTACCATCTACACAATACAGCGTCCCTGGATCATCATCAAAAACTCATTAGAGAAGGTATCATCATCCTACTTTATAAATTCCCTAAGATACAAGTAACATGATAAATCTTTCAAGTGGTTGTGAAAGGAACTTTATTCATGTTCAGATTTTCACGTCTTTGTCTAGTGTTAAGTGGGGATTGGATACATATAATCATCCTGGCAGGAAATAGTTCACAGCAGATGTTTCCAATAAAGACAGAACCAAGAGACAGACTTATAGAGGCCTGGGCCAGGCAGGCCTAAGGCAACACACCAGGTTGGGAGAAGTGAAGAGGAGCTGCGAGGGCCTCCCATATGGTGCAGCAGGTTGAGTGCAGTGCTGTGAAGCTGTATGCAGCCTCTGCAATGTGGGTTCGATTCCCACCAGCGATGGAGATACTCACATGGTGTGGCAGACCTCTCCTGTCTTGCCCACTGCTCCCCTCAGCAGTGTATTTCGGTCGGTCTGCCTGTTCTGTTTCCTGCTCTGTCTCTGATGAGTCCTCTCACCCCCTGCACCTTTGGCCTGTACCCCGGTTCTTTTATAAATAAATCTTTTTCTTTAAAAAAAAAAAAAGAAGAGCTGGGAGTAAGCTGGAGCTGCAGGGAGGATCTCGTTTTCCAGAGGGATGCAGCCTGGCCAGACACTGCACCCAAGCAGGGAGGGAATAGCAGAGAATGACCCCAACTTCTGTCCACCTTCTCCCTCCCACGCCTGCAAGTAGTGTCTCCTAGGGACCCAACCAGCAACAGCCAGCCTGCAAAGTTAAACCTTGCAGCGCAGAACAGGACTGAGGAAACCTCTGGGGGAGGGAAGCACTGGAGAATATTGGCACTGAGAAACTACTCTAGGGTGAGATCCTTTGAGACTTGAGAACATATTATAAGAAATCAAAACATTAAGAAGGAAATTTAATATAACTGAAAAATAGGGTAAATTGTGAGAAATTGTAAATGGGGATCATGTAAATGATGTGGGTTCCTGTGTAAGTTAGTCATTTTAAGGGAAAATTGTGTGAACCTAATTCTCCTTGAACTCACTGCTGTGAATAAAGAATTTTAAAACTTCATTAAGATCCATTTTACGGCCTTCTAAATAGTATTACTGTTCTCCATTTATTCTCTGTTTTCCCCTGAAAATACAGATTTTTAAATCTTTTGAAATAATTTCAGTATTTTTGAAAGATATTTTTATTAGGGGAAAATTAACTTGCCTTTTTAAGTGAAAAATACTTGGAGAATATAGTATCATTCGACAGATGATATGTAACATTTATGGTTATAGGAGTATTTGTTTTATCAATTTATATAGAATAAGATCTGCATCTTAAACTGTATGTTATGCTAGCTGTGAGTTCAGCTGTTTGGGGAATTCTTTGGCACTTTACAACTGTCTTCATCTTCTAGTATTACTGTAAGATACAGTACAATATAATATAAATTATAGGTATAGTTTTTTACCTGCAAAAGTGGTCTTTCAAAAATATGTTGAGTTTGAGTGGATGAGACAGAAGATAGGACCGAGGGATAATTTTTCCTTTTAGTCAGCACTGAGTTTCCTCCATGCTGCCATCTTCTTTTCTCCACCTGTATTATTATTATTTTTTTGCCTTGATCTTCACTGTTCAGCTTATGTATCATGTGAACAGCACTAGAGTAGGCCCCCAATATTCCTGCAAAGTGAATTGCCATGACACTCTCAGTTACCTCATACAGAATGTGGCTTTCAAAAGGTTTCCAACACAGAGATTATTAGGTTGTATGTAAATTTACCAGTTTGAATCTGTTCTAAAATTAAAAGCATAATGCTTCTTTCTGGCAAGTTGGAAATAGGATAACCAGTATACAAGAATGGTTCCATAAGTCTTTAAAGTAAGACAAATGAAAGGTTTTGGCAGGAGCGGGACCTTCTTCAGTTGAAATTTAAGCATAGATGGAGAGTTGATGTGTGGAACATTGTGTTGAAAGCATTAGCTGGCAGAATTGAGCCCAAGAAGTTCCTTTTGCCTAAATCACGGTGATGTCTAGAAAGGGCATTCTGGATGCGGGGAGTGAGCTTTGGTAGTGAAAGCTAAGAGGGACAGGTTAGTGAGAGAGCTTTCTGAGACGGGCTGGAGGTAATCCATAGATTTAAAAATAAAAGTATTAGGACTAGATCCTAAAATCTAGCATTTAAGAATGTTCCCTGCCAAAATTTTGACTGCTGCGGTTGGTGCTCAGTGGCTTAACCTTTGCTTATTTCTGCTTTTACCCTCTGTGATTCTCTGCTCAGGTATACCTTGGTTTTTACACTGGTGTTTAGGAACAGTTGCAGTTTGAAGGTTACTCATCTAAGTGTAACACAACTTAGCATGGTTATTTGCTTTTGTTTCTTTGCTAAAGCCTTCCCTCCTGTTTGGGCCTGGATTGATTGATTTCTTAACATGTGGACCCTCTATCATCCCAGGGCTACCTGGCCAGGAATCTTCGTATTTTGTGGAGTCTAGATTTTCTTCTTTCTATTTTTGGAAGATTTTTTGTGGCCCTGTGTGTATAGAATGTCAATTTTCCATTTTTGCATTTGATGGACAGATTGAAAGGATTAAACTAGATAGTATTGTCCCTCAAATTTGAAATGCCTTTACCACTGTTTGTAAACTGTTTTCTTGGCCTCCTCCACCTCCCTTAGGCACTGCCGGTGTTTGCAGGATCATCTTTATGTCTTTAGTGGCCTGAAATTTCAGGATTGTGATTTGGTATGGGTCTTATCTTCCTCACTGTGTTGGGCATTTATTCTAGCCTCCCAATCTAGAAATCTTGTCCTTTAGCTTTGAGAAAAACCATTGCATTATTTCTTAGTGGATGTCCTCTCCTTTTCCTCTATTTTTTTTTCAGACATTGAACCTCCTGAATTAATCCTATAATTTTCTTATTTTTTTTTATTGTTTCTTGTTGCTGTTTATTTGTTATACTTTCTGGAATATTTCCTTAACATTGGCTTATCTTCTAATCCTTCTTTTTGAAATTTTCTATTTTTTTATTGTTTATTGTTGCTGTTTATTTGTTGTATTTTCTGGAACATTTCCTTAACATTTCCTTCTAATCCTTCTTTTTGAAATTGTATCTCTGTCACCATATTTTAAGTTTCAAAGTGCTTTATTTTCCTTTTAATGTTCCTTTTTCAAAAATTGCATTTTGTTCTTGTGGTTTTAATGGTACCTTTTGCTGTTTATGGAACCAGTTTCTTCTTGACTCCCTCTCCTTCCCTGACGTTTGTTCTGTTCTCTAACTTTTATCTTGCAAGTGTTTTTTTTCCTTCTAATTTCTACTGATTCTTGATTTTCAATTCATTTTAGTGTCTTTTCAGATACTAACAAGCTGATTGACAGCTCCATCTTAAGAAGTGTGTTGACTAGTGTGCTTTACTCTAAGATGATTAGATAGAGATAGAGACCCAGCTTTTTCTTTGGGAAGACCCCACACTTAGTGTCTTTTTTTTCCTAAAGAACTTTACATTTCTCCAGAAAAATCCTTCTGATATCTTGCTTGCTGGGAATGAGTAGGCTGCTATTGTTAGGGGAATCCATTTGGAAATTGTAGTTGTAGGGGGTAGATAGGGAGTGAGGAGATTGTATCGTAAAAGGGATGGATGTAAACTCAAGTCATAAAACTTCAGAGCCCTTGCTCTGTACCACCCTGCTTTTTGTCTTTACTTCTAAAACCTAAGTGGGGATTCACAGGCTTTTACATCAAGTTTTTCATGCTTATTGTGTTCAATAACCCCTCTTAGTCCTGTATATAACAGTTAGGAACACCATGTATATGATGCTATTTAATAATTATTTCCATGTTGGAGATTTATAATTTGTTCTTAATTTGCAGCTTTTTTCAAGGAGCAAACCTCCAAAGGGCCTGTATGTTTATGGAGATGTTGGTAAGTTGGTTAAAATAAATTTTGGGTGATTGAAACAAAAAGTTTTCCAATTTTCACTCAGAAATAAATTGTATTTCCATCCCTCAATCTACTGTCAACAAGGGAATAGAATGGGGCGAAGTAAAAAAGGGGGAGTGAGAGAAGTAGGCATTTATCTTAGTTTTCACTTTTACTTTTACTTAGTATATCTGAGACGGGATTAGTTAGTATGTCAGGGTGCAAACATTACTTAATGTATAATATGAATAGTTTTCAGGCAAGGAAATCATCTACAGATAGGTTATAAGATAAATCAGAATCTTTTTTGCACAGTGCTATCTGGCTCAGAGTAATATTTTTAAAAAGGAAGGCCATTCTTTTCATTTTTAATTTCCACTAATATTTCTACTCATGGTCTAAACCCTTGTCTTCAACTTACTTGTGATTATCTTTAATTTAGTTACTAGAGGATATTCTCAATGCATGTGTGGTTACATTTCCTTGGTCTCTCATTTGTATACATTAGACCCAAAGACATTTTCTTGGAAACTTTTTGAGTTGTGACTTTCTTTCTATATTTTCCTAGTTATTTCATGTCTTGCTTCTTCTCTAACTTCATTCTTGGTGAAATTGTTTGTATTTTGGTTTCTACTTCCTTCAAACAAATTCTTTTATCCTAGGCCTAAACTTCCCTCTGGTAATGTACATTCCCTGATGGCATGAAGGTGGTTTTTGCTTTTCCTGACCTTATTGCTTGTCAACCATTTCTTATTTTAGCATCCTCAAAACTCACATTTACATGTAAGAGCTCACTTTTGGTCCTATACTAATAAACAAGCTCCAAGCTCCCCTATAGCAGCTATAACAAATTTGTGTTATGAGGGAGTGGTGTCAGAGTTTATTAGTATGATTTTTAGGACAATAAAAAAGATGAAAGTTGAATAAGTAGTTACAGTGCCTTAGAGATCAAACTTCTTTTCTGGACCCTCCCTCTTTTTCTGATTTGTTTGCTGATGCCTCTGAATAACCTGTTTTACATGTGCAGATTTAGTGAATCTGATAAAGAGAATTGTTTAGTTCACAAAAATGAATGATAGATTGTCTCGTAAGATTCTTCAGGTTCTTGAAACTTACAGATTTAAAAAAAAATGTGAAAGAAGCTCAAAACAATACTTTTCCTTAGTTCATTTGCTAATTAATATTTTTGAGACCAATGTATACTTAACTTCTTATTTAGAAAGCAATTTATTCCAGGTACTCTATCAATTTTATGTGTCTGAACCTGAGGATACTACTAAGGTCTCATCCTGTTGTCATCATTTCATTATTTGCCTCTTCAGAGAACACATACTTCCTATACCTCCACTTTCATGTTTAGTCATTGCTAAAATCAACATCTTTGTTTCTCTTGTTACCTTAACCACTTATCCATAAATGGAGAAAGTTGTAATGTGCAGTTGCTTCCACTTCTGCAAAAGGACTTAAAAAAAACCACCTAAACTTATGAAAGATGGTGAATTTTAGTTTGAAAATACAGCCATATTTCCCAAAAATTTTAGGCAAGTACAATAAACATCTGAATGCTTGTAAGAGTAGAAAAGATGTGATAACATGGGATTTCACATAGGCTGGGTGAGAGGCAAGCCTCAGTTAGGAGCGTAGTGAGGGCACGAGCGAAAGTATTTGAAACAGGAAATGAGATGAACATTTTGGTGGCTGTCATCAATTTAGAAACTTATTTTGGGGAGTCTCTGGTTAGGAGAACAGTCTCAGAATGCCTCCATATTTTCCTATTCTTTACTATTTTTCTTTTTCAGACTTGAGAACCTGTTGGTTTTTAGCTTTAAGGAGATTCAATGGGAAAGAGGAAATAGAGCTCCCCCTTCCACTCAGTTGACCTGTGCTTGGATGGGTTCTGTCATGCCCACTTCACTCTGCTCTTTCTTCGTATAAACATGTTAAAATGATTGACTCACATGGACACTTAGCCCAAAGAACCCCAACAGAGTGAATATTAAGTTGTAAGGATCATCGCCATGGTTCAATTTTAAAATATTTTCATTAATAAAATGTTTAGCACATTTCATGCAGAAGCCAAAAGCCATGGTGATAGTGTTTTGTGGCTTCATCCTTACCTTACTGCTGGCTTTCTTCTAGCATTTCAGCTCTTGGCCATCAGACTGCAGTGGTGATGGCAGAGTGATTTCTCCCATACAGTAGAAGACAAAGTATGTTTTTTATAAGCCCCTTTTCTGCTGCCTCCTGCTTTACCCCCACCTATTTCACATTGATAATGGGCTCTAGTTCTACCAGTTGACAAGCATGCTAGTGTTAAGGTTAGGAGCGGGGGAACATTATTCTCCTGGCCTTGGAGGCAGTGGTGGAGGACAGTGTTTCCAGTTTCTTCTGCAGGGGGTCTACTGTGAAAAGGACACCAATGGTGGAGGTGGGAGGCACTTTCAAGTGGTTATTTTTGGCTTCCTAATTAATGTAGACTTGAACATTAGAACATAAAAAGAGTTTTAGGTTTTACAAGTTACTCCTTAGTAAGAATCGTCTCTTGAGAAAAATATAAGGTTTTATTTAGAATTCTATAGAGACCAAAGCGAAGTTGTGAAAGTCAGTAAAATTTAGTATTGATTTCTTCTCTACCTTTCCCCAACAGCTCTTGTTTTTATTCTTCCATTCCCTTGACAGTATTTATTGAGCATCTGCTTTGTGCCAGAAAGTGTGTTGTTTCTGGAAATGTAATGGTGAATATAAGCAAACACAATCTTTGTTCACCAAAAGCTTATAAACTGGTGCAGTAGCTTTGAAACATTTCTGAATATGACCCATAGTAAGAAATATATTGATATTTTACTCCCTGACTCAGTATATGTGTGCATGCGTGATACATCACACACCTGAAAAATATTTAAATGAGACATTTGTGCGAAAAAGGTGCATTTTGATTTAGTCTGCTCTGTTCTATTCTATGAAAAAATAGTTTTGGTTGTAGTGGTACTTTGAAAAACACTGATCTAATATTTCTAGTATCCATGACCACATTTTTATGTGCTATGGTTTGTTCCTGCTGTTTTATGCCTTTGGGTATCAGAGATTTTCATGCTAGGCCTTTCCTGGGATGCAGCTTTCTTCTCTACTAGTTAAACAGAAGCTCTTGCCCAAAATACTAAATCTAAAGGTGCCTCTTATAGCCAAATTAAAAGAATTTTATGTTTTAAAAGGATTTTGTGTTTCTTCTTTTCCAGTGTCTAAAAACATTAGTTTCATGTATTTCACCAAGTTGTCTAGTTGTCTGTTTGGATGGCAAGTCCAGTCTCTGAAAATTTACTCTCACATGGTTTCTCAATAAATTTCATTTCCCCATATGTATTTCTAAGTCTTTCTTACTCCAGCGTTTTACAAATATTCATATGTGTTATCATCTGGGTCTTTAATATTTCTTTTTTTTTTTTAAGATTTATTTTATTTATTCATACAAGCACTGGGTACAGTCAGAAGCACGGGAGGGTGAGAGAATTCACCAGAGCCAGAGCCGGGAGCAGAGCAGGCAGAAGGACCGAAGTACACTGCTGAGGGGAGCAGCGGGCGGCAGGAGAGGTCTGCGCGCCATGTGGGACCCTCCTCCGGTGGCCGGGGAGCAGCCGGGGATCGAACCGGCGCTGCAGAGGCAGCGGGCAGCTTCGCAACCCAGCGTTCAACCGCTGCGCCACCGGGGAGGCCCAGGGTCTTTAATATTTCTTAGCACCTTAACTTCATTTGGAATTAGTTTTGGTGGGATATGTGAGGTAGGGAATCGGTTTTCTTTTTTGCATATGTCTGAACATTTGTGTCTAGAAATTTTTTTAATGTTTAAGATATATAAAGTAAACTTTCAAGTTCACTACCACATTCTAAGCACCTAGCATAGTGTCTTGCATATGGTAGGCATTCAGTAAAAATATATTGACTAAATGAATGAAGATAGTAATTTTATGTATGGTAATTTTGATACCAGAAAGTTGAATTTTTTAGCATAATCTATCAATCTTTTCCTTTATGATTTCTTCCTTTTGTTTTTATCTCCAGAGACTTTTAGTAATGATGTTCTTATTGTATGTCAAGCTAGTTTTTTTAGAGTTAGTACAGAGATTACATTGAAATATACATTATTGAAATATACATTATTCATATTTTTAATTAGATAACTCATGACTTCTTTCTGAATCTGCAAGTACACTATGCTTCATGCAGCAGAATTTTAAACTATTAATATTTTGGGTAAATTTAATGATTACACTTTGCTATTACTCTATCAAGAGTATGAATATTCTTGCAAAAAATAACTTTTCAATCTCAAATGGGCTCTTCATTAAAGGCCTGTTTGGTGAATTGTATTTCATATACAAAAAGTTTTCAGGTCATTCAGATGGCATGTAAAGTCACCTTACAGAATGGAGGAAGACCCCCAAATTAGATTTGACCTTACTGCCTTGAGCAGCCTTTGAATTTAGCTGAGCTCCTGTGAGGACAGCATGGTGACTGTGATGTGGTGGTAGAGGAGGAAGCAGGAGGGATATCTCTAAGAGATAGGACCAGCAAGCCCTGGCCTGGCCTACTGAGGAATGCCCTAAAGCTGGGCGTGCTGTAAGGGAAAGCTATTTGTGCATGTCCTGTTAAATGCTCAGACTGTTGATTCTTCGATTACTAATACAATTGTAGTGATTAAATGTTTCAGCGATAAAAATTAAATATTTTAATTTTAAAGTTTGACTCTATCAGAATCTCATCAATAGGGCTCATTTGAAAGGCCTATATTCTCAGCTTTAAAAGAAAAGTGACAGTACTTGAGCTCTATATCTATTATTTATTTTCAGTATTTGTTATTTTTTCAGTATTTGTGTTAGACCTTCATCTTTATTATTTTTCATTTTTGAATTTTCCCATTGTGCCTAAGTCAGTTCCTCAAGCTTAGTAATGTCCCAATAAATACTTAATTGTTATTTATACTGTTGTCTTTTCATATGGAAATTGAAGAATAAATACTCTGTTATTCTTACCAGTTTATGAACATAGTTCTCTGAGGGAAACAGCCCCTGTGATGTTAACTAAATGTTGTATTTCCAGAAAAGAGTAATAATAACATTTTATTTTTAGCTGGTTTAACATAAAAAATAAACACTCCTTTCTAAAAAAGTAATATAGTCTTAAGCTTTCCAGTAGAAGAAAGTAGTTTCATTATCCCAAAGCTAATGAACAATCATTAGAGTAATCAGTACATACTGTTTAGTAGTATTCTTTTTTTTTTTTTTAAGGTACGGGGAAAACAATGGTGATGGACATGTTTTATTCTTATGTGGAAATGAAGAAGAAAAAACGGGTTCATTTTCATGGTTTCATGCTAGATGTGCACAAAAGTAAGTTAATAATCTGAAAAAATGTGATTTCTAAGCAGGCAAACCCTAAAAAATAGTTTTCCTCTCTTTTAAAATTCTTAATCTTTAAAAATATTAGATTTTTCCAGTTGGTGGGGTTTCTCTTTGTTTTTGTTATTGTCTCTTTTGCTGTGCAGAAGCTCTTTAATTTGATGTAGTCCCAGCTGTTTATCTTTGTCTTCACTATCACTGCTTTGGGTGATGTGTCTGTAAAGATGTCTTTGATGTGCAAATCCCGTAGTGTTTCGCCTATATTTCCTTCTATGTATTTTATGGTTTCAGGTCTTATGTCTAGTTCTTTAATCCATTTTGAGTTGATTTTTGTGTATGGTGTGAGGTAGTGGTCAAGCTTCATTCTTTTGCATGTAGCGACCCAGTTTTCCCAGCACCATTTATTGAACAAACTTTCTTTGCTCCAATGCATAGTCTTTGCTCCTTTGTCAAAGATTAGTTGACCATAAATCAGGGAAATGCAAATCAAAACTACCATGAGATACCATCTCACACCAGTGAGAATGGCACATATTAAAAAAACTAGCAACAACAAATGTTGGCGAGGATGTGGAGAAAAAGGAACTCTTGTGCACTGTTGGTGGGAGTGCAAAGTGGTCCAACCACTATGGAGAGCTGTGTGGAGATTTCTGGACCTACTAAACATAGAGCTTCCATATGATCCAGCAATTCCACTCCTAGGTATTTACCCAAAGGACACAGAAACATCAATTCCAAAGAGCACCTGCACTCCTATGTTTATAGCAGCACTGTTTACAATAGCTAAGCTTTGGAAACAACCCAAATGCCCAAAAATAGATGACTGGATCAAGAAGATGTGGTACATATATACCATGGAATATTACTCAGCATTCAAAAAAGATAAACACATGCAATTTGCAGCAACATGGATGGCGCTGGAAGGGATCATGCTCAGCGAAATAAGCCAAAAAGAAAAAGAAAAATACCGGATGGTCTCACTCATAGCAGGAATCTAGAAAACTTAAATAAGGGACCAGGAAAATGAATATAAGAAAGTGAAAATCAAAATCAACAAAAAACTATGAACCAGAGACACTTTTTGGGGGGTGGGGGGCGGGAGGGGAAGGATTGGGGTCAGAATGGGGCATTTGCAATTGTATGGGGGAATATAAAAATAAAATTTAATATTTAAAAAAAAAAATAAAAATATTAGATTTTTGCTTAAAGTAAAATTTTATTTGGTTTCATATGTTCTATGCTCATTGAAACAATAATGTGTCCCAAGTTTGTCCTAAAGAGAAATGTAGTACTTCCAATTAAAAAAACTAAGGTTACTAAATAAAGGTCAGGCACTTTGTATTTCTACCAAGGATTAATAAGAAGGGTTAAAACATCAGCTGTTTCAGGAAGTTATCCTTGATCAGGTTCTTTCCTCTGAGTCACCATAGCATATAGGCATTTGATTTATATGTGCATGTATATGTTCATTTATGGCTCTGATAGTGTTCTTATGTATTTCATTTTTGCATTATTTGTCTACTAGCTCTACTGTAACCTCCCCCCTAGGACTACTGTATTTTTCTTCTACTAGGTCTAGCATTTAGAACATTTGTAATGAATGAAGTGGAACTAGCTTTTGTGTATTAGCCTCACGACAAGGTTCTTGATTAGGTTCCATATAGAACAGGTCATATATGCTACCTGATCCCTGAAATCCTCAGGACTAAGATCCATCTATGCATCCTTCTGGTCTCCACCGAGTCAGCTTCTATCACTCCATCATCTTTGAAGTGATTGAAGAGTTGAGGTGGGATGACCTCTAAGTGACCTTACAATCATGGGATATAATCATATGAGAACAACTTATTTTGAGGTAGAGAAAATACAACCAATTTCAGTAATCAAACTTGATTGTATGTGGAATTTAAACTTGATATTTCTGCTCACATTAAAGTTTCATTAGATTTAAAAGTGGTATAGTTATCAGCAGTCTACTAGTAATGCAATATTTGATATGATTTAATCTATTTAAGGAATACACCGCCTTAAACAGAGTTTGCCAAAAAGGAAAGCAGGATTCATGGCTAAATCATATGATCCAATAGCTCCTGTAGCTGAAGAAATCAGCGATGAAGCAAGTCTCTTATGTTTTGATGAATTTCAGGTAAGATAGAGATTTTTCCATAGATGTAGAATGATATGTGGAATGAAGTATGAAGATTGCAATTTTGTTCCTGATTTTATCATTGTTTTATTAATTGATTTAGCATATTGTGTCTTATGACTTTAATTTCATTATCTTGCTCAGGGATCAACAATTGATGGTTTTCATAGGTCAGGACTGGTGCATCTGTTTTTTTTTGTTTTTTTTTTTTAAGATTAATTATTTATACAAGCACTGGGTATAGTCAGAAGCACAGGAGGGTGAGAGAATTCACCAGAGCCAGAGCGGGGAACAGAACAGGTAGACTGACAAAATACATTGCTGAGGGGAGCAGCGGGCGTGGCAGGAGAGTTCTGCACACCATGTGGGACCCTCGCCGGCAGCTGAGGATCGAACCGGCACTGCAGAGGCTGCAGGCAGCTTCGCAGCCCAGCGCTCAATCGCTGCGCCACCAGGGGAGGCCCTGGTGCATCTATTTTTTGTATGGCCAGTGAGAAAGGAATGATTTTCACATTTCTAAAGGGTCTTAAAAAATGAAAAACAAAAAAACAAACCGACAGAGACCATATGTAGTTTGCAAAGCCTAAAATATTTATTGCAGTGTCGGTGTTTTAAAAAGGTGTGTTTGCCCACATCAAAAATCTAGTCAATGTATTTATATTTTCTCTACACCACAGAGGTAATGAATGATTACAAAATTATGTATTTTAGATTATTTTTAATTGTTCTGTGAAAAACAAGTGATTTCACCTATCTCATTTAAACCTGAACAACAGGTGGAGTGGCCCTGTTTGAACTTTTAAAGTTTCTTCTAGCTTTGGGATTCTTTGAAACTGTATATTTGAATTGGTAGTAAGTTATTTCCCAATTTTTATTTCTTATGAGAGTAAATATGTCATGTAGACCAACACCATGTCTTTTGGCTTTTCTGTATCCTGGCTTGTGGCCAGTGTACCACTACTACCACCACCAATAGTACTCTAGATTAACAATTACTTCCTCTTCATTTGACTGCTTTCTTTAGTAGTTCTGAAATATAATAGTTGCAATTTCTATAATGCTTATTATAAGACCAATTGATTATTGGAATGAAACTAGAAAAATCTACAAGTATTAAACATAAACTTAAAAATAAGACTTCACTGTATTGTGAAAAAATAAACATCTTTAAAAAAATTAAAGCTATTTTCAGAACAAAAAATAAATAAAAATAGGACTTCATGCCCAAAGCTTTGAAAAATATCTCTGGAGCTAAGTTCAGAAACTTCTGTGTCCGATTACCTGAGATCAATTTCAGGGAACTTTAACAGAAAACTGGCATTGGCTGTGTGCCTCCTCTCTGGATGGCTTGGCTATGCACATCTCATTTCAGCCTTGCAACCTATTTGTGATGAAGTGAAGGAAATGTCCTAGTTGGATTTTAAAGTTTCTTCTGTCATCTGTCCCATTCATAGTTGCCTTCATGTTTGTTTACTCACCCATCCCCATAGCCTTAAGAGAGGCTTCTTCCTATACCATGAGACCCTTGCTGTCCCGTGTTAAATGGACCTTACCTGGATGTCCAGTCTATAAGGAGCTAGTTCATAAGCTTGTCAACACCTTCGACTTGTATTGTGTGACCTAGGGGTTGGGCAAGTCATATCCTTTATTTCATGTATTTGAATGAAGAGGCACCAAGGGAAGTTTTCTCTTTGTAGTGGGACAGGAACATGAGTCATAGGATGTGACTGAATTATATTAGGGGAAGGAGTACAGTAAGTCCTCACTTAACATCATGGTTAGGTTGCTGGAAACTGCTACTTTAGCCAGTTTTGCCATGGGCTAAGTGATAAAAACAAATGTTAAATACCTGGAGCATATTTCTGGTCACAAACACAACCCTGAACTTCTAAATAAAGATCCAAAACACTCTAATATTAGGCATTTTGAATTCATTTGTTAATTTTCCAAATCCGCTTATTCCAGTTCAGGGTCATGGGTGGCCATAGCTTATGCTGGCAGCCATGGAAGCAAGATGAGAGTAAACTCTGGAGAGGATGCCCTTCCATCTCAGGCACCCCATCCCCCCAACCCCCACTCCCTCTCACACAGACACTGGATGATTGAACCTAACACGCGCATCTTTGGGGTGTGGGGGGAAACTGGAGTAAATCCATGCAGACATGAGGAAAATGTGCTAACACCACACAGTGGCCCAAGCTGAGAAAGAAAACTTTTATCCTTGTGAACGTTGTAACATTGAATGAAAAACGAGGAGCTGCTGTACTAGGCTGTTGCCTAGACAGCTGCTAAACTCTATAGAGCTACTTCTAATCCCAGGTCAGTCTTCACCTTAGTTCCCTGGAGGTACTATCAGTGTTACTCCCATCCTGGAGTCTCAAATAAACCTCTCTTCTTTAGTTGAATCTCCTGTGCCTGTTTTCCCTCGATCTTACTGAGAATGCAGTTATTCTACTCATGATTTGCTCCTGTCATTTTCCTATGCTTGTGAAAGATAGCATAAATAGAAGTACTGTGAGGAAATATCACCATTCTTTTTTTTTTTTTTTTAAAGATTGATTTATTTATTTATACAAGCACTGGGTACAGTCAGAAGCACGGGAGGGTGAGAATTCACCAGAACCAGAGCGGGGAACAGAGCAGGCAGAAGGACCGAAGTACACTGCTGAGGGGAGCAGCGGGCGGCAGGAGAGGTCTGCGCGCCATGTGGGACCCTCCTCCGGTGGGCGGGGAACAGCCGGGGATCAAACCAGTGCTAAAGAGGCTGCGGGCAGCTTCGCAACCCAGCGCTCAACCGCTGCACCACCGGGGAGGCCCAAGCAAATATCACCATTCTTAATAGAAAATCTGTTACTCCAATGGAAGGAGAATTACCCAATAAATTAAAACCCAAGAATAAGGAGATTAGTTGTTCCCTAGAATGCTTCTGGCTGCAAGTAATGGAAAACCCAATTTAAAAGGACTTAAACTCTCAGGGGAGTGAGGTATTGTTATATTAAGTAGTGTCATTACCCTGCTCAAAACTTCTTGCTTCCTTTCTGACCGTGTCTCCTATACTTTCAGCCTTCATCATTGCTCCCTACTATTTCCTATCCTTTTTGCTTCCTAGATTGGGGAACCCTAATTAATAGTTAGATGTTATACTGATGCTTCTTTCCCACCAGGGCTCTGAGGAAAACAAGTGCAGAGATGACAAAATCTGACTGAATACCACACTGATTGCTCTTAGTTGAGCCCAAATTTCAGGGTAGCATTCTATTATGTCAAAGTTGGCAATGTGGGAGACCTTCCTCCTATGAGCAAAGTTGGCATGAATGTCCTAGAATGAAAAATGTTAGTTGGGGCCTCCCTGGTGGTGCAGGCGGCTGAGGCTGCGGAAGCTGTCCGCAGCCTCTGCAGTGCCAGTTCCATTCCCGCCAGCCTTAGAGCAACCCACATGGCAAGCAGACCTCTCCTGTCTTGCCTACTGCTCCCCTCAGCAGTGTATTTCGTCAGTCTGCCTGTTCTTTTCCCTGCTCTGTCTCTGGTGAATCCTCTCAGCCTTCCGCGCATCTGGCCTGTACCCTGGTTCTTACATAAATAAAATAAATCTTAAAAAAAAAGAAAAGAAAAATGTTAGTAGTCTTGCTCGTTTATTTCCTCTATGATTCTAAACTTGAATCTTGGAGTTTACCACTGGATACAAGAGAAGGTGAATGTCTGCATATACCCAATCCTGAGAAGAGCTAGAGAAAGTGAGAGTAGGTCAAGCATGTGTCCCCTGAGGGCAGACGTGGTCACTGGGCAGAGCATGGATTTCCTAGTTTCAGTCTATGAACTGTCTCTGCTAGTCTTCAAGGAACTTCTCTAGCACACCAAGACTGGGGTATTGCAAGTCCAAATCTCTGCTTGCTCCCCATTCCTAAAGTCCAAGAGGGCAAAAGAATGTCCCAAAATAGCACTATCCAGCACTCTGATTCCTCACATACACACACTTTAGAATAAATAAGCAGACCCTCTGCACTGGTATTCTTTCTGCATGGAACCAGTCTCTTGTAGATACTCATGAGTCTCTCACTTCTTCAGATCTTTTGTTCAGTTATCTCCTTGACCAGGCCTATCCCTACACCCTATTTAAAATTGCGATTTGGGGCCTCCCTGATGGCGCAGCGGTTGAGCACTGGGTTGCGAAGCTGCCTGCAGCCTCTGCAGTGCTGGTTCGATCCCCGGCTGCTCCCCAGCCACCGGAGGAGGGTCCCACATGGCGCACAGACCTCTCCTGCCGCCCGCTGCTCCCCTCAGCAGTGTACCTCGGTCGGTCCTTCTGCCTGCTCTGCTCCCTGCTCTGACTCTGATGAATTCTCTCACCCTCCTGCGCTTCTGACTGTACCCAGTGCTTGTATAAATAAATTAAATAAATAAATAAATAAATCTTTAAAAAAAATTAAAAATAAATAAATAAAATAAAATTGCGATTTATCATTGACCCTAGCATTTCTAATACCCCTTGCCTGCCTTTTCTTTCATAACATATATTACCTTAAAAGTAAATTTTCTTACTTATTATGTTTGCTGTTTTTTATAGATAGTTCTCCTCAGGGAGGTAAACTTAAAAGGCACAACTCTTTGTTTTACTAATTGATGTGTCTGGAATATCTAGAATAGTGCCTAAGACTCAGTAATGGGTAAAGATAAGAAATGATTAACTCCTATTACAAAATATGATAACTACTGAAGTAGTCCCCTAAGTCCTACTTCCCTTATACATAGTAACACACATTTTTTTCCTGTCAACATACTGAATTATCTTAACATTTGTGTCTAATTAATAGATGAAAAATGGTATCTCATTGTTTTAATTAGTATTCTTTTAATTAATACTATGGTTGAATTTTTCCCATGTTTGCTTATTTACTAGTAAAAGTCTATTTTTTTTTAACTCTCTTTGAGGCAGTATCCATTTGTTTATTGGAATGCTTACATTCCATCTATTATATATATTCTATAATAATATTACCTACTGTTTGAGTCCTTTCTGTGTGCCTGTGTTCTTAGCTACTGTGTTTTGCTGTGTATCATTCCATCTACAGACAAAATTCTATACAGTAATATAAATAATATGGAATTATCCTAACATATTTAGGTAATGATCAGTTAACATTTTTTTAAAAGATTTATTTATTTATGCATATAAGAACTGGGGTATAGGCCACAGTTGTGGGGAGGCATGAGAGGATTCGCTAGAGACAGAGTGGGGAGCAGAACAGGCACATTGACTGAAATACACTGCTGAGGGGAGCAGTGGGCAAGACAGGAGAGGTTTGCTGCACCATGTGGGTTAGCTCCCTGGCAGGGGATCAAACTCATGTGCAGTGGCTGCAGATAACTTCATAGTGCTGAGACTTAACCCCTTGCCACCAGGGAGGCCCCATAGTTAATATTTTTGAGGACTTACTATAGGCATCACAACAAATTTACAAGGTAGATGTTATTACTGACATCATTATATTGACGAAGAAATTCAGTGTCAGAGAGGTTAAGTAACTTCTCCAAGGTCACACAGCTGGTACTCAGTTTAAATCCATTATCAGTGCTTTTAGTCACTAGTATTAACAGCTTTGTCAGATGTTCTCCTTGGCATATGATGAATCCTATTATGTGTTTAAATATACAGATCCAGAGTTGGATGGGATTTTAGTGGATGTTTTAATGATAGAACCAAAAAATTATCCTTAAGTCTATTAAACCTACTATATAATACATTACAGATTTACTAGAAAATAATTGTTTAGGCACTTTATTTTAATGACAACATGTCTACAGTCACTACTTTTAAAATTGAGTCTTATTAGTTGTCTTAATTTTTAAGTAGTTATTGGCCTTTTGGTGGTGTTAATGTATTATTTTACTAGGGAGATAAATGGGAATTATTGCTGCTTAAGAACAAGCGTATACTCTTGAATTGAGGGGATTTTTAAGATTCTGTTTTGGTAGCATTCAGCTTTTGCACTTGTGGAGTGTATTTTTCATTAGCTTGGTCATTTTTAAGCGAGCATTGCAGTTTCACTTGTGGTATCAGATACACAATTACTATTTGAGAAATGTGTCTAGGAAGATTGTTTTTATAAGTTTTAGTTACTGAAATAAAAGAATAGCTTTTCCTCAAAGTTTTCTTTTGGGTTTTCATTATGTCCTCCTTGAATAATTGTGTTTCTGTTAAATGGTTTGTAATTCTAAAGATATCACAATGCTGAAGGAAACCGATTTTTAAAAAAGGTTATTTCTTCTCTCTCTTTTCAGGGACACTGGACAGATGTTTACTAATATGGTCAAACCCCCTCCTCCCCCCAAGAAAAGAATTCTCATTAGCAGAATATCATGCAAAATTCTCCTCTATATGCTATCAATATCATTTAAAAAATAGTTTTGACCGTTTTTATAAAACAGCAAAGCTATTAAAAACTGCTAATAAAAAATAGGTGCTTATTTTTGTGCTAATACTAATTACTGATAATGCATGCTTATGTTTGTCACTCATTACATGGCACTGTACCAATCAGTGGATGACTGAGACTCAAGCACTTACACATGTAAATTAGCCATTAGATTTTTTTCTTTTTTACTTGAGTCATAATGGAAAGCAACTCTAGGTCATAAAAAATCTTTTCTCTTTAATGCTAATGAAATGTCTCCACTCTCTGTATTAGCACACTACCCTTATTGGTAATCTGTGGCCTCCTCTTTTGTTCCTGGTGGTAATGAAAGGCTGGGTGCTGAAAAAGCCCGCTCTCCAAGAATGTGTGGCCAATTGTCTTCTGTTCACTTATACTGTAAAATTACTGTTCCCCAGTGAAGCTGAACAAGTGCCGGGACAAGATCAAAAGAGTGTACACTGGCACTCAGCTATACCAGGTGACTCCTGCTTTATTAATTAGCCATAGCTTCTTCAAGTTAATTTACTCTGATAGAGCAAAAACATTCCGTAACACAAAAACAGCAAATTATAATTCAACCACAAGTCTTTGTTGTTTGCTATCCTCAATTTTCGGTTTTAAACCTTTGCACGTCATTCTAAGCTATGTCCTTTTACTTTCCTGTACTGTAGGGCACAAAAGCTATTTTTAATTTTTTTCAAAAACATCAATGATATAGTCAAATGACTATTTCTTAGTCTCTAAAATTGGGTACAAGTCAGTGTATTGAGAATCCAGTTTAAAAGTGCAGTTGCTTCTAAAATTTACAAGCTTATTTTGTCCTCTCATCAGAAATGCCACTGGTGCGTAAACATTTGAAAAGGACATTCTCTGTGTTTTTGCAGAAGCAAAATTTGACAGTGATTCTAAACTCTGAATTAGAATAATATCAGTACCACTTTCCTTTACATTTTAATCACCATTTTGCATGTTTCTGAAGTCTTTTTAATGTAAGGAATCATTAGTCGTTTTTAGCTGATGGTTTAAAGTTATAACCTCAAACAGCAAAAATACAAAAAAAGACCTTCATATCCCTACTTTCTGGTTACATTTTATTTTGTACAGGTGGAGGGAAGGAAATAAACTTTTGAGTACAGTTTCAGCTGTAGAGAGAAAACTGATTTAGACATGTGCAACCCAGGTTGTTGTGAATTGTTATAATCATCTAGTTTATATTTTGATCTAATTTGAAAGACTTCTGCTAGTTTCTATATATTGTAACATAGCTTAAAAATATATATTGTGAATATAAAGCAAGTTTTATTATGATAATCTGAAATGTACTATTAAATAAAGGTCAAGGTGGTTTTACATTGGAAATATCTAAAACCCATGTTATTATGTTCATTATATTTGTATAAATACATAGAAATTGCAATGTTAATATCAGTCTTCACTATATTTATTTTTGAAGTCAGCTTCCTTCCTTCATTTCTGTATTTCTTTGTGATTTTTTAAAACCTTTTAAAATGTTATAATTAAGCTTATTAATTGTGGATTAGAAAAATAATTTTAGAGAAGATCAATAGTTATGACAACTTAGATGACATAGGTTTATCTGCATCATGCATTTCTGGTTTGTGAGAAGTTATTTTTTTAAAGCACAGTGTTAATTATTCTTGTAAGTTTTTATTTTTGAAATTTTTTTGGTAGAAGGAATATTTGTGTTTGCGAAGGTTAGCAGAGGCTGGCTGTGCTGGAAGTGACTGCAGTGCCTTTTGATTATTCATGGACAGTAATAGAAGGCACTTAAAAAGAACAATGAAATTGCTTATTTTTGTGATGGGCCATCTGTTGAATTGTTTTGTGCAACAATTGCACAATAGTATCTATGTCATATCATTCTATTTTCAACAGCAGCTGATTATGTCTCACTGGCTACTTGTCCTTATTTCTAAAGTCCCATGACCATTTAAAGTCACCTTTTTAGAGACCTTTGCCAGAAAGGTATTAGAAATCTCAAATAGTCTATGTATTTTTCTTCTCTCTCTCTCTCTTTTGGTGGGGGTTGGGGTGGAGGTAGGGTGGCTATGATAGGAATTGGAGGAGGGAATTTGTCATGTTAGTCCTAATTAATTGGACTTCCTAAATGTTTAGAACAATTATGTGTGCTTTCCACCTGTAGTTCTATAAAAGAAGTTAACACAGAACCATTTGATAATTTGCATAGAAATGATAAGCTTGCAAAAAGAAGAGTCAAGTTTAAAAGACTATTATACAGTCTTTCATGCTTTTAATTATCTATGCTCTTTTCTTCATGATAATTAGAATTTTTCTCTTGGAATGCACTTACATCTTAAAAAAAAAAAAGATGAGCCATTAGCAAATTTGTTAGAACAGAAATGAAATTAAAATAAAACAAATGTGTTGTTGTCCATAGGTCACTGACATTGCTGATGCCATGATTCTGAAACAGCTTTTTGAAAATCTGTTCAAAAACGGGGTCGTCGTTGTGGCAACATCCAACAGGCCGCCGGAAGGTAAAAACAAACACTGCACTAGTCTTACCCAATTAGGTGGAAACTAACAAGCTTTTAGAAATTCATAATTTTGTATTCTTTTTATTGTGTTAATAAACCTGAAAACTTTTCTTATTATTAGTTTTATAACAATCTGAAAAATCAGTTAATGTTTGTATTTCAAAAAGTTACATTCTTAGATAGCTAAATCCAGCTGACCTGTGCCTGATGCACTTGCTATTAGTCATATGTGCATATCAAAAAAATGCAAGTCTTTCTAGCTGTTTTTTGGAGTCCATAAAAGAAACTCAATAAAATGAAAGGCAAAACTTCTAATTATATTTTAGAAAAAGTCTTAAAGCTTGCTTCCATAAGCAGTTTCTATTTAATTGATCATTTCTACAATAATATTTGTAGCTTATTAGGAAATGGTTTAAGAGTTAAAATACAAGTAATGTTTAGATAAAAACAAGAAGTTTAAAATCATGTATTTTTCAGTCCTTAATGTGGTCAATTGAAGGATTTAATAACCAAAAATAATACCTTATGCATGCTTAATGTTGGCATTTTCCTTCCCCCAGATATCTGACTCAGTGTTTAACTCCTTCCAGTCTTTCCTTCAAAGGTACTTTGCCTTCAAAGGTGAAACCTAGATTTATTTCCCTACTTGAATCTACAACCCGTCCCTTTACATCAACCTGCTTCTTCTCTCTACCAGCTCTGTTTTTTTCTTGTAGCACTTGTGGACCCATTATGTAATTTACTAATTTATTATATTTATGTATTATTGTCTGTCTGTATTGTCTGTATAGTTTCATGAGACCAGAGACTTTTCTGTTCATGAATGCTTTCTAAGCACCTAGAACAATGCTTTGCACATAGATGTATCTTAGTCATGGAATAATGTTAGTCTTAGAAAATTAGTTTTAGAATAAATGTTGAATGAGTGCATATTTTATTTTTAAAGATTTATTTATTTATACAAGAACTGGGGTCAGGTCAGAGGCGCGGGAGGGTGAGAGAATTCACCAGAGAGAGCATGGAGTAGAACAGGCAGATGGACTGAAGACACTTCTGAGGGGAGCAGCGGGCGAGGCAGGAGAGGTCTGCCATGCCATGTGGGTATCTCCCTGGCCGGCTGGGAATCAAACCCGCTCTGCAGAGGCTGTGGACAGCTTCACAGTGCAGCTCTTAACCCGCTGCGCCACCAGGGAGGCCCTGAGTGCATATTTTAAAAGAATCTTTCTGGCTACAATACTGAGAATAGACTGTGGGAGTGAGGTTTTGAAGTTGGAAGTAAGGAGATAATTTAGGAGGCCATTCCAACAATCCTGAGCTGGTGAGAGTGGCCTGGATTTATTCTGGCTGTATTTTACAGATAGAGCCAAAAAGATTTACTGATGGAGCGAATGTGTAGGGTATGAAAACAGAGAATGGGCTCAAGAATGACTCAAAGGTTTTGGCCTGAGCATTTGGAAGAATGTAGTTACCAAGATGTGAAGTGTCTTAATAACGTAAAAAGTAAGCCCCTACTCCTTGCAGGTAGATTTGGAAGACCTGAATAGATAAGGGAATTAATAAGGCTATCTTAGGGAGGAGGCCATAAAACTGACCACCATGACCAGAAAAACCAGCCCAGCTCCAGGAATGCAGAAACAGAGGCCAGGACATATTTTTGTGTCAAAGGCCAGAGCCAGAGACTAGATACCCCAGCAGATAACTGGTGCATACTGGTGCCCCAAGTTAGAAAGCCCTTGAAAACAGAATATAAAAGAGAGCCTCAAATCCTCCTTTGGGCACAGACTTTTTCCCCCTCACTCTCTGCTTCTCTTAGCAAATCTGCCTTTTCTGTTCTCCACTCTGTCTCTTTCATGCCCATACCTTTGACCTCACCCCGATGTTTCTCCCCACTACATGGAGGACTACGAGAGAAACACATTGGGTAGGGAGATGGAAGTATATATATGGATATATGTGTGTGCATGTGTGTGTGTATATATATGCATATATATATGTATATATATAAGTATATATATACACACACACATGCACACACATATAGTATATAAATAAATATATAAAAGTATATATATAAATAATCTATGATATATAAGGTAGATGCATGTAAGAATTTGGGTTTCAATAGAAAAATTTGTACTGGATATATAAATTTCAGAGTCATCATTCTTAAAGGAAGCTGAAAGAAGCAGTTAGTGAGGTAGAAAGAAAACCAAGAGAATATCAAGTGAGGAGAGAATGGTTGCCTTTTTAATGCTACTACGAGATGAAAATGAGGTTGAGAATTGACCATTGGAATTGGTAACATGGAGTTCACTAGTAAACCTGACAAGAGCATCATAATAATGTGAATTTATGTTTAAAATAAACGATGTCACATTGATGATATAATTGAATTTGTAATCTGGGAATATACCCAGATCTTACTATATGAGCTGCTGTCAAACTAGGGCTCTTTCATTATGTACATGTATATTTGGTTTCTTTTCTTCCTGTTACATTTTAATTTACTAATTTGTTTTATTTTACTGATTTTTATTGTTATCTTTTGAAATATGATTCTAATGTAAATTATATTTAGCTATGACTGCTTTAACATTTATAAGCTTGGTAATCATGCTTTTCTGTTATCTTCAGCTATTCATTAATTAAAATGCATAAATAGGATAGAACTGAGTTTAGACTACTTATTTTAAGGAACCATCAGTTAATTAGTCAATGCTTTTGGGTCCAGTAATTCAAACAATAGTTATGTCTAATCTGCTACATTAGGAAATAATTATGAATTATTTTTTAAATGTGCTTACTAAAGCCCATATAATGTTATATATAGCATTCTTGTGATTTTTCTAGTGTAGCAACCCTGTGAGCCAAGGCATGAACTTTTTATATTAGATTATCTATCTAGGTGGAAGTGAGGTTTGACTCTAGCTAGTTAACTTGTTGACTTAACAGCGTCATCAAGATTACCTTTAGCTATTCAGCAATAAGCCTATGTTTGTTTAGCAAGATATCAGAACAAGTTTAGAATCCCCTTCTAGCAAAGAATGCTGAGAAAATAATTGCAGTTGGCTGCTCTGGGTACTACAGTATGGCAAACAGGGAGATGTGATGGAACATTTTGGAACTCATTGCTTTATAGGAGTGAACTATTTGGTAATATTTTGCTGAGATATTTGTAATTTTATGTTCATCAGAGATACGTAACTTTCTTTTTTGTGATGGTTTGGCATCAGAGTAAAGTAAGCCTCAAAATTGTTTATATTCTCTTTTGTTTCTCTTGCAGTTAAAGACAAATGCACAAAGGTATTATTGAAGCCTATGTCTTAGAGTGTTTTGCTTATGTTTTCTTTTATGAATTTTATGGTTAATTTTTGTATATGATGTGAGATAGTGGTCTAGTTTCATTCTTTTGCATATAGGTGTTCCATTTTCCCGGCACCATTTATTGAAGAGACTTTGTTTTCTCCAATGTATTCTTTCTTTCTTTTTTTTCTTTCTTTTCTTTCTTTTTTTCTTCATACATACATACATACATACAAGCACTGGGTACAGTCAGAAGCGCGGGAGGGTGAGCGAATTCACCAGATCCAGAGCAGGCAGAAGGACCGAAGTACACTGCTGAGGGGAGCAGTGGGCGGCAGGAGAGGTCTGCGCGCCATGCGGGACCCTCCTCTGGTGGCCGGGGAGCAGCCAGGGATCGAACCGGCGCTGCAGAGGCCGCGGGCAGCTTTGCAACCCAGCGCTCAACCGCTGTGCCACCGGGGAGGCCCCAATGTATTCTTTTAGCTCCGATGTCTTAGATTAACTGTCCATAAAGTGTGGATTTATTTCAGGACTCTCAATTCTGTTGCATTGGTCTGTGTGTATATTTTTGTTCCAATACCAGAGTTTTAACTAATAGAACTTTGTAGTGTAATTTGAAGTCTGGAAGTGTGATACCACCGTTCTTCCTCATTTTTGTCAGAATTGCTTTGGTTTTGGGTTTTTTTTGTGGTTGCATATGAATTTCAGTAATGTTTCTTCTGTTTTTTTTGAAAATGCCATTGAAACTTTGCATTGACTTGTATATTGCTTTGAGTAAGATAGTCCTTTTAACAACATAAATTCTTCCAGTCCATGAGCAGACAGTATCTCCATTTCTTTGTGTTTTCTTCTATTTCTTTTAACAATGTCTTCACCCCTTTTGCTAAGTTTACTCCTAGATATTTAATTCTTTTTGAGGTGATGGTAAACGGGTTGCTTTCTTTTTCTTCCTCTTCTAGCTTGATGCTTTCATAGAGGAAGGCAACTGATGTTTTGTAAATTGATTTTGTAATCTGTCGTTTTGCTATACAGATTTATTGTTTCAATTAAATTTTTAGTGGGTCTTTAGGGTTTTCTATATGTAGCTTCCCGTCATTTGCAAAGAGTGATAGTTTTACTTAATCTTTCCCAATTTGGGTTCATTTTATATCTTTCTCTTGCCTAATTGCTCTCGTTAGGACTTCCAAAATTATGTTAAATAGTGGTGGTAAAAGTGTGTAGTCTAGTCTTGTATCAGATCTTAGCAGAAAACCTTTCAGTTTTTCACCATTGAGAATGATGTCAGCTGCAGGTTTGTCTTATATAGCCTTAATTATATCGAAGTATGTTCCATCTGTCCCCATTTTTTGAGGGTTTCGGTCATAAGTGGGTGTTGAATCTTATCAAATGCTTTCTCAGCATCTATTAATATGATCATATGATTTTTATATTACCTTTTGTTTATGTGGGGCATTATGTTGATTGACTACCTGGTTATGGTGTATAATCTTTTTAATGCACTGTTGAATTCATTTTGATAAGATTTTGTTGAGGATTTTTGCATCAGGGAATTGATCGTAGTTTTCTTTTTTTCTGTTGTCTTTGTCTGGGTTTTATATCAGTTAATATTGGCCACATACAATGTGTTTGAAAGTATTCCCTCTCAGAGTTTTTTGGAAGAGTTTAAGAAGGATAGGTATTAGTTCATCTCTAAAAGTTTGGTCGAACTTGCTAGTGAAACCATCTGGTTCCTGGATTTTTGTTGAGACACTTTTGATTAGTTTCAGTTTCCTTGCTTCTAATTGATATGTTCAGGTTTACTGTTTCTTCCTAATTCAACCTTGGATTGTTTTATATTTCTAAATACTTGTCCATTTCTTCTAGGTTATTCAACTTACCAGTATTCAAATGTTCATAGTAATCTCTTATGATCCTCTGAATTTCTGAGATGTTCTCATTCACCTCTGTTTCTCCCAGTTTTCCCTTGTGAACCTAGTTAGAGGTTTATCTATTTTGTTAATTTTTTTTCAGTGATCCAGCTTTTGGTTTCATTAATCTTTTGGACAGCCTTTTAGATTTCTATTTCATTTAATTCTGCTCCAATTTTTATTGCTTTATTCCTTCTACTTGCTTTTGGTTTCGTTTCTTCATCTTTTTCTAGTTCATAAAAGTGAGACATAAGATTATTTAAGTTCTTTCTTCTTTTTTTTTTAAATTTTTCTAGAGGCATGTTTTTATTTATTTATTTGTTTGTTTTGTTTATACATGCACTGGGTACAGTCAGAAGCACGGGAGGGTGAGAGAATTCACCAGATCCAGAGCAGGGAGCAGAGCAAGCAGAAGGACCGAAGTACACTGCTGAGGGGAGCAGCGGGCGGCAGGAGAGGTCTGCGTGCCATGTGGGACCCTCCTCCGGTGGCCGGGGAGCAGCCGGGGATCGAACCGGCACCACAGAGGCCGCGGGCAGCTTCGCAACCCAGCGCTCAACCGCTGCACCACCGGGGAGGCCCTCTTCATTCTTTATTGATATGGAACTGTATTGCTATATACTTCCCTCTTAGTACCATTTTTGCTGTGCCCTATCAGTTCTTTTTTGATTTCCTCATTAATCCAAGTCATTCTAGTTGTGGGTCATTCAATCTCCATATACTAGAAATTTTTCCTGCTTTCTTTTTGATTTCTAGTTTGATAGCATTGTGATCAGAAAAGATACTTGATATGGTTTCAGTCTTCATGAATTTATTGATAACTGTTTTGTGACCCAGTATTTGGTCTATCCTGGAGAATGTTCCATGTGCACTTAAGAATGATGTGTATTCAGCTTTTTAGCTGTGCAATGTGCCAAGAATGCCTATGAAGCCCATGTGGTTTGATTCTTTGTTTAAAGCTGTTGTGTCCTTATTTGTTTTCAGTCCAGTTGATCTGTCCATTGGTGAAAAAGGGGTGTTAAAGTCCCCTAAGTGTTTAGCAGTCTTAAAGACTTTGACTCTAATCCTAGGTGTATGTCAATTACTAACTGGGAATGCAGAAAATTCTTTAAAAAACACTGAATATCAAGTTTCTTTATCTTTTAAATGAAGGTGGAAATATCTGCTTTGTAGTATTGTAATGACTATGTATAGTATTTAAGAAGTTGCCTGATTTCTAGTCAGTATTACATATCTTTCAGTTCCTTTTGTTTGTCATTTGTCTTCAGCACTTACTTCAGTGTAGCCATGTAGTAGGAATTTGTGAATGTATATTAAATTGAATATAAACTACAGTATATCAAATGGGAACATTTAACTAGGTGAATTATCCATACATTTAGTAAAATACTCTTTGAACTCCAATTAGGTTTTTAAAAAGAAGCTAAGTAGCTGTTGCTGCTTAAATGGTCTAAGGGTACCATTTTCTTTTTAAAAAAATACTAAAGTAAGACTCTCCTGGAATGGTAAATCAGGTTACTTCCATAAAGCCATATAATTCATATAATTATTTTGTGTTAGTTTATAGGAAAACTACTTTTAATGACCTGTCTTAAAAGTTTTTCTTTTTCTAAACTGATGCATACTAATATAAATAAGCATTATTCATTCTGTTAGTTTTGACACTTGGATTTTTAAGGAAAAGATCTGCATAGCCACGAGAAGTTCCAAAGTATTTATGTAGATCTTTGTAATTACTTTAAAAATCCTCTTTGCATGTATTTCATTTGTAAGTATTATTATAGTTATTCACTGTGGAGAATGTAGAGGTCCTTAATACCATGCTCAAAAAATGAATGTCCCATAATTCCAGTACTCTATCTTATCTGACCAAGTGCTCATTTAGCTCTGTTTAGAAATCATTAAAAAATTGTAGGCAAGAACTTCTGATGAATTTTTAAATAGTATTTAGTAAATAGTGACAAATGTTGACATAAATGTACTATAAAATCTGTATGTCTAAAAAAATAATATTAACTAAGATTAAGAATTTTGGTAGCTGAATAACATTTCAGGAAATGGATCTATTGCTTTGATAATTAGCATAATATTTGAATTGCAAAAAAACTCCTCAATATAATGAGTACAGTCCTTTTTCACTTAAGTGTCTTATAAAAACCTTAAAGGTTTTCAAGCCAAACAAATTCTGTTTAGAATTTTGTTTAGAAAATACTTCCCAGAGTATGAAGTTTGAATTATAGAGCCTTGTAAAGCCTTATTTTTTTAAAAGTTAATCCTTTAAAAATTATATATTGAAGACTTAAAGGCATTGTTACTATACTTTAACTTTGCTGATGAGTGGAAATCTTTTAATCAAGACTATTACAAGTGGATCTTTACATTTCTCATTGCTATTAACCTACAATTCTATAATTATGTTCTTTGATATTCATTAATGCATGTTTTTTCCCCAATAAATTTTAAAAATATATTGAGGCATAATTGATATACATAAGTGGTACATATTTAAAGGGTACAATTTCAAAAATTGACATCATATATATATATATATATATATCTCATCATCACCACAATTAATACAATGAACATTTCCATCACATCCAAAACTTTTCCATGACTCTTCCTTTTACATTTCTTGCTACCTTCCTTTTCCCCTTCCCTAGGCAACCACTGTTTTATACCCTGTTATTTTGTATTAGTTGTCTTTTTCTAGTTTTATATAAATTAAATCATTACCATATGTACCTTTACTTATTATTTTTTGGTCTTATCTTTTTTCTCTGTGTAATTATTTTAAGATTCACATACTTTGTTATTTGTATAGCAGTTTATCCCTTTTATTGCTGAGTAATATTTCTTTCTAGAGATAAGCCACAGTTTATCTTTCACCTAATAATGGACATTTATATTGCTTTCAGTTTTTGACTATTACAACCAAAGCTTCAATTTTTAGCTGTTATGAATAAAACCACTATAAACATTACTACTGTAAACTACTATAAACATTGTTTTAAAAGTTATTTGATTTCTGATTTTTACCACTAACTGGAAATTATTAACTCTTAAAATTTTTCCACCTTTCCCAGCAACTTGGTAATTAGGGAAGACTATTAAACTATCTCACCTTATAGTCATTATCTTCATTTTACCCATTTTATTCATTTGAAGTTTTGACGGTAGAGAAGAAAAGATTTCATTATGAATTTTGAAATCCTAACAGCCTGACCAGCATTGTTACCTTTATAATATCCCCAGGTAAAAATTTTAAATGTAATTGAAGTCTCTACACCTTAATTAACATATCTACATATCTTTCTTCACTATAATAATGTTATGATGAATATTTTTCTAAAGAGAATATGTTTCTTAATGATATTTTATTTCTATAAGTAAATATGGCAGTTGAAGTTGTCAAATTTTCTGTAAAGAAGGAATTAGAGATAGGATCCCTTCATACAATACTTTACAAAATTGAGATACAGAATCTGATTTATAATTATTATTGCTATGAAAAATTTTTAGTGCTCTATTTTTATAACTTTTTACTTTTAAAATCTCATTTCTTATATAGTTGACTTTTAAAAAGAATGTTTTATGTTCAACAAAGTTTCTTGAAAAAATATTCCTTTCTAAGTTTCCACTTTTTTTTTTTTTAAGATTTATTTATTCATACAAGAGCTGGGGTGCAGGCCAGAGATGCGGGGGGGGGGTGTTGAGAGGATTCACCAGAGACAGAGCAGGGACCAGAACAGACAGACTGACTGAAATACACTGCTGAGGGGAGCAGCGCATGAGGCAGGAGAGGTCTGCTACGCCATGTGTGTAGCTCCCTGGCCGGGCAGGGATCGAACTCGTGCTGCAGAGGCTGTGGATTGTTTCATAATGTGGTGCTTAACCCCTTGCACCACCAGGGAGACCCTAAGTTTCTACTTTTAAAGAAAAATATACAAAGCTTAAAATGTCTTGCCCCTTTCCACTTTTGCTCTTGACAGTGTGTGTGTGTGTGTGTGAGTGTGCGTGCATAGATGTGTAGTGTGAGACATACATCTATCTATAAGTATTTATGTCACCACTCTAAGATAATAAATATTACCTATTTATGGTATGTAATTGCTTGAAACTTATAGTCTATTAAAAGTGGAGTTTTAATTTTTAGGTAATTTCTTTTAAAGTAAAGTGGCCGTAATGTCAAATATTTAACTGGGATAGAAATACATGCACAGTTCTGTCTACTGATGTGTTTTAAGAGCCTTATTTTATTATATACTCTTTATTCTTTTCTGACAACTTTTATTATAGATTGAGAAAGGGAGAATAGGGGTTTTTTCCCAGTAGAATACTACATATCTAAATATTATATACTTTAAAAATGTATCTTATTATGCAGGGTTATTGATCATTTATGTTATCTCCACTTTTTATTATTTTTATTATGGGTTAAAGTTAATTAGATTTAATGGCTTTTGATTTTCTTTCTGTGATTATTAATATGTTTTTTCTTAATAAGAATATAGTGACTTTTGTGTAACTTGAATAGAATTCAATTTTGGTTACTTTTCTTCTCTTTTGATCCTTTAGCTCTTTTATTAGAGGAAGCATTATTTTCCAGGGCAAAATATAAGCTAGCATTATGATATAAACTAAATAAAAAACAAATACCATTTTTTTTTCAGATCTCTATAAAAATGGACTCCAAAGAGCAAACTTTGTACCATTCATAGCTGTTCTGAAGGTAAAGAAAATCACTTACTTATATTCAATGACTAATATATTGATTGATAATCAGAGACTTAGAGATTGCCATGTCTTACATTCAAGCAGAATTTGTTTTGATAGTCAAAAACACTAATGGAGAATAGAATTTTTTATATGGTATCATTAATGTGTACACAGAAAAAAATACAAAATATAGTCTAAATTATTATCTAACAAACATTTGGTAGTTTGCATTTTATAAATTTTAATTTGAGATTTGCTCATAAATATTATAGAGATGTTTAAACTTATACATTGATTTCTGAAAAAATGTTTAATGTTCCCTGTTTCCTTCAGGTTAATGGCCATTAATATGTTTTCCCAGCTATTAAAGTTGCTATTCTAGAGTAGCATTATTACAAAAATATTCTAATATATTTAAATGTGATTGCCATCAAGTTATCATGAAATTATGTCAAGTTGAGGCACATAAATAGTTTAAATATTTGTGTGTATTATCACTGCATAGAGTTTAAAATAGTCTTCATTACAATATGATTAAGAATAAAATTGTCAGGCCTCCCCGGTGGCTCAGCGGTTGAGTGCTGGATTGCGAAGCTGCCCACAGCCTTTGCAGCGCCGGTTGGATCCCCGGCCGCCGGGCAAGGGTCCTGCATGGCGTGGCAGACCTCTCCTGTCACCCGCTGCTCCCCTCAGCAGTGTACTTCGTCTGTCTGCCTGTTCTGCTCTCCGCTGTGGCTCTGGTGAATTCTCTCACCCTCCTGCGCTTCTGACTGTATCCAGTGCTTGTATAAATAAATAAATAAATAAATCTTAAAAAATAAATAAATAAAACACTTAAAAAAAAAAAGAATAAAATTGTCTCCTTTTTCCATGTTAATTTTAAGTAATTTTTACATAATTATTCAGTAATTTTACATTGTACTAATATTTATTGAGAACCTACGATGTGAGAAGTGCTACATTAGGCATATTAAATAAAATAATCATGAAATAGGCCAAGTTTCTTGCTTGTAAATCATTTATCAGTCATACAATATGTGAACTAATACCTATAACATAAAGCAAAATCTAATAATTATCAAAAAGAAGTATAATTATGTGCCCAAACATAATTTCCATTATTCATCAGTACATAATTTTTCCCAGTCCTTAACAACATAGCTGAATTTAAATAAAACAAACCTTAAACCTTAATTCTTATCTAGAAGTAAAAACGTTTTATCTTCAAATATCTAAAGACATAGTCAGACAATCATTTTGAAATATAGTTTAGTTGGAATTGTTGTTGGTGCCAAACTTTATTTCCTGTGCTATACTTAGGATAATTCAAACATCTGTTTTCTTGACCAATTTTAGGTTCCCAGAGGATTTTAATTTCTCTGAGATATTTATAGATGTAGGGAAAAGTACTTCTTCAAGACTTATGCTGTTAGTACTTTTTTCCCCTTTATATTCATGTTTTGCATTAGGAAGAAAGTAAATTTGCAGTGTTTTCTCCACTCTAAAGTAATATGGTGTATATAGACCCCCAAATATAAACAGGGAAGCTAAGAAAAATAGGTACTAAAAATAGTATCTTCATATAGTATAATATATACAAAATATAAAGAGAGAAGGCTCACAAAATGAAACTAACTAAAAGGTTTGTGGGGAACTTTGTAGTTGTACTTAAAAACCCAAACCTTATTTCTTGGCCACTAATTTTTCATATTTTAATACATAATAGCATTATTAATGAAGAACTAAATTGGCCAGACTGATTTTAGTTCCCTTCCCCATCCTTAATGTATTTGAAGAGGAAGGACACCCAGAAAAGATGAATAATCTGTTTGAAATCGAACAAGAACTGAGATAAATAATAGCATAATTTAAAATTGAATATGACCTCTAAAGTGCCAGGGCAACTAAATGCCAGATTGGATGAGAAAAGATCTAAAATGTCTCATTTATTCAAAATGACTTTTCGTATATAACAAAGCATCAGACAATGAAATAATCAATAGAGCTGGTTTCTGAGGAGCTTTGTTGGGGGCCATGAGTTTCTCTTGTAAGGAAATGTTTCATATTAACTTAAAAGGGCCCAGTGGACCATGGTGGAGGACTGTGAGTCCCTAGATGGTGGGTGTGTTGTGGTAACACACTCTGAGGGGGTGTGATCCTACACCTCTGAACATACACAGTGATGTAAAACAATGTTATCTCAATAAGAAAAAAAATTTTTTTTAAAAGATTTATTTATACAAGAACCGGGGCACAGGCCAGATGTGCGGGAGGGTGAGAGGATTCACCAGAGACAGAGTGGAGAACAAAACAGGCAGACTGACGAAATGCACTGTTGAGGGGAGCAGTGGGCCAGACAGGAGAGGCCTGCAGCGCCATGTGGGAATCTCATCCATCCGCCGGGATCGAACCCACACTACAGAGGCTGTGGACAGCTTCACAGTGCGGTGCTCAACTGCCTGTGCCAGCAAGGAGGCCCTCAATAAGAAAAATTAATACAGTAAAATAACAACAAAAAAACAACACTTGCTTATCCATGTATACTAGTGAGAATTACTATTTCACTTTGGTCCAACTAAGCACAAGTCAATCTTAAAACAAATGGAGAATCTTAGTTTAATAAACAGAGAAATTTATTTAGGGGTGAAGTACAGTTTAAAATCCATTTTTTCCTTTGTGTTCTTTTCTATAAGCCAACTGATAATAAGTTTGTAATTCACTACAATAACTTATGATTCGTTGCTTGGAATATTGCAAGATAGCAAAAACTTAGGTACCTAAGTTCTTTGTAAATAATTTTACAAGGTAGTAGGAATGATGAGGACTATTAAGCTGTTAAAAAACAAAAATGTGGCATGTTCATACAATGAAATATTGTTCTGCTATAAAATGGAATGAAATTCTTGCATATGCTCCATTTCGAATGGACCTTGAAAATAAGCTCAGTGAGATAAACAGACACAAAAGGACAAAAATTATATTATTTCACTTATATGAGGTACCTAGAAAAGGCAAATTCATAGAAACAGTAAAATAGAGGTTACCTGGGGCTGGATGAAGTGGCCAGTTATATGGTTTTAGAGTCTCTGTTTCGGATGACAAAAAAAGTTTTGGAAATAGTGGTAATGGGTTGCATAACATCATGATGTAATTAATGTCATTGAATTGTACACTTAAAATGGTTTAAATGATAAAATTTTATGATTACTATAATTTTTAAAATATGAAAGAAGAAAAGTCACAGGACTAGAAAGGAAATAAAAATATTCAGGTACATTTCCTCTAGAAAGCCTTCCTAGAGTATATCCCTTGAGACAAAGCAAAGTAAAACTAAACAAAGCCTCCCAACCCCCATTTCCTTACATATATTTTCCACTATTTTTAAAGTAGGGAGGCCTCCATTCGTCTATGTACATCGGTATTTCTGGCTTGCTGATTTTTCCAGCTCCAAGTCTGGAAAATGTGAGTCAAAAAGAAAAGCAGAGAATTTACCATTCTGTTGTCCCTCAAATCCCTAGCTGTTCTTCTTTTCCCCACTCTTCAGTGTCTTCTTAGATTTGTTTTACATATAATTTCCAGGATTCTCAATTGTATGTAGCAGGAAGAATAGGGAAAAGATAGGGAACAGTTAGGTCTATGCTCTCTTCCCAGTTTATTATAAATCAAGTTTATTATAAGTCTTTGTCTGCTAATTCCATCATCTTTGTTACTTATGGTTTTAATTCTATAGTCAGATTCCTTCCCCTCACCTTCTTCCCCACCCTTTGTGCTTCCTGTTTTCCTGCTTCTTTGCAAGCTAGTAATTTGTGATTGGATTGTGATTGGAAACTAGACATTGTACTTATTACCTTAAGTTAATCTCTGACTTCTTTTAAGGTTGTTGAATTTTATTTGGCAAGTGATTACATTTCTTGCAGGTCATCTTGATTCTTTTGAGGCATTTTCATGTTTTGTGAGGGTTTCTGGAATAGCCTTTACTTTTTTGGCCCTGCTTGGTGTGACCCTTCTACACTTGCTACTGAATTCCCTTTATGTTCATTGAAGTCTTTCTATTCTGGCTGTTTAGAATACTTATATCTCCCAGCTTTGTGTGAATTATTTTTGGCCCAGTCTTATGGAGTTTCACTCTATGCTTGAGCAATTTAATTCTCATCCAAAGATTAAAGACATTCTCTTACAGATATCTGGGACCGTTTCTTTGCATTACTGCCTGCCTCATATGCTGAACTCTGCCATGCAAGTTCCAATTTCCTCAGTTTTCTAAAACTCTGGTCATTCTCTTCAAGACTCTCTTCAATGATGCAATCTAGAAATTGCCTCTAGATCGAAAGTCAGGGAAAATTGTAGTGTTTGCTTGCCTGATTTATTTCCTGCATCTCAGGGATTGTTATCCTTTGCTATTCATTGTGTTATGTCAGATATCAGATGCTTCATATATTTAATCCAGTGTTTTATAGTGATTTATGGTAGGAAAGCAAAATTGAGTTCTAGCTACTTTGCCTTGGCCAAGCACATCATTTTAATTATAAAGAAGAAGGAAATAAGTTATTGTTTTTATTTTTTTGTAATTTGTTAACTCAGATATAAATTTTTCTTTAGATGCAGAAATATAAATAGGATAACTGTTAAAAACCACTGATGGGCATATCTTTTCCTCACACATTTAGTTAAACAGACGATAGTACAGTCACATGAGGGGTACAGTATAGCTATTTGGTACATACTTTCAAAAAGTGATAGGAAAAGTTATGCTCACTGACAATGTGAGTGAAAAAACTGTAATGTAAGAGTATATTATTCTCTCAATTGCAGAAATAATACACACGCTTAGAAAAAAACTGGAAGTAAGTATCCCAGAATGTAAATAGAACTTATTTTTGAATAGTAAGATTATTGATGATTAAAACCTCCTGTTTTAGGCTGTTATAAAATTTCTGGGACAATTATTCTTATAGTAAAAGCCATTTCTTTGCCTCTTCTTAGGAAAACAGCAGACCTGAATAGCATTGCCTG